GAGGCAGCGCAAGGTCCTGGCGGGCGGCTCGCTGGAGCTGGAGGAGGGCGGCGAGTTCGATGACCTGGTGTCGGCCCTGCGCTCCGGGGAGGTGTTCGACAAAGACTTGTCCAAGCTCAAGCGCAGCCGCAAGCGCTCAGGGAGCCAGGCCCCGGAGGTCACCCGCGAGCGGGCTCTGAACCGGCTAAATTATTGACTGGGAACTGGCGGGGCCTGCGGCGCTGCGCGGATCAAGCCGGCGGTGAGATTTCAATTCGGTGCTGGATGTGGAGCCCGGGGCTGGGTCCTGGGGTGAGAGGACTCTGCACCCGACCAGGCGTTTCCCCAACTGACGTTCAGGGCTCCTCTCCTCTCCCCTCACAAGATTCTTTCTGGGTCCTGGCCCCGGGGGTCATTCTTGGAGCTAGCTCGGACCGCCCTGGCCAGGAACCCCAGGCTGTGGGCTCCTGTCCCCCACCCCGGCACCCACGTGTCAGGACAGAATTCAGATCCAGACCGGAGCGAGGGGTGTGGCAGAGGGGTTAGATCTCCCTGGGGCCAACGTTGCCACGGGATGGGAACTAGTAAGAGGCATCCTGTGGCATAGCGGCTAGCTCAGCTCTGGCCCGTTCCAGGAAAACCACCGCGCTGGGAGACGAGACAGGGCCCATAGCCACGAGGACAGAGTAGCAGCTTCTTAAAGTGCAGGCCCTTTGGTCTCTCCCCAACCACCACTAATGTACACCCCAGAAGCTTACCCTTAGTTCCAGGATGAGGGCTCGCTCTTGGCTGGATCTGCTAAGGGGGCGTGAGAGAGAGAGCGAGAGAGAGAGCGAGAGCGAGAGAGACCTCTCCCCATCAGCGCATCTCATGCGATCACGCCTCACAGCGCCTGACCATTGTCCAAGAGACAGTGACCTCACTTGTGGCTGGCAGCGCCTCACCAGAGGGTAACACTTGAATGCCTAGCCCCTGCAGGAGCTGCCTCTTTTATCATCACTTTGACCACACCCTCTCTCTAACACCATGGGGCAGAAGCCACCTGAGCCATTCGTCCATCCTGCAGGGGGCCACTGGGAACTGCATGTGCCTGGCCCTGGGGACTTCAGTCCTCAGGGCCAGAGCTGCCCATGCCTTTATGTGTCACCATTTCTAAGGGTGGCCTCTTGGGGACGTCAGAGTGGAGGCCAGGGGATGCTGGGGCCGTGTGGATGGAGGAAGGCAGCTTTGTTGGGGGTACCTGCTCTCTGGTGCTGCTTGGTTCTTCCCGACTTCCAGGGGTGCTTCGGGCCCTCCCTCAGCTCCTTTATTTTTGTCCATCTTGAGCTGTCCTCCCACGGTGGGCGAGATTGCTGGATTTAGGCAAATTTTCTAAATGGAGGGAGTGAGGTCAGTTCCATCAAGGCTCTTATTTTCCACACTGCCCCCACCCCTTCTTGAGGCCAGCCGGGCCCGGCCCTTCTGTCCTGCTCCTTTGCTTCGGGCTCTCTGCCAGGGTACAGACTGCTGGGTTGGGCTCCTGCTGCTGGTCTTTACCGCGTCAGATGCCTGGGGTGGTGGGCACAGAGCCACAGCGGAAGTGAGGTTGGTGAGCACGGCATGTGTGTTGGTTTGAGGGGGTGGGCAGGTGTGTTCCGGTGGGAGGGATCTGAGCAAGTACAAGCCAGGCCAGCCTGGGGCCCAGGAGAGGGTAAGGTGGAAGCTTGTAGGGAGAGCAGCTGCAGAGTCCGGTTGGGCCCATCTGAACCCCATGGCCTCCCCCTGTGAGGAGCAGGCTATGGGACAGTGACCCCTTAGGGTCCTCTCCCAAACTGGCCTGCCTGATTTAGCCTAACACGTGAGGGCCAGGGGAGGGTCCACTTCTATGCGACAGGCATGTCCAAATCCCGGACTTCCCACCTCCCATGGAAAACCAGCTACGCACCGCGAAGGACCAGGAATAGATGCAGTCTATCTTCAGAAAGGCAGAGTTCGGTTTATCTGTTTACAGAGGGCACATATGTTGTTCTGGAGCCCAGCCTTCTCACCCCAGAAGCTTTTCTCTTTCCTATTTATTATTTTCTAGATCTGGCCCATGGTTCTTGGTACTAGTTGATGCCAGTGTAGCCGGACTGGCAGTGCCATGGACCATCACGCCCAGCTAAGCACAACGGGGCCGGTGCCCATGAAGATGGCGGAGGTGGTCCTTGATGTTAAATGATTAAGGCTATTACACGTCCCTTGGTCTTCCTTTCCCCATGTCCCACGGCTCTGGCTCCCTTTGGGTAGAATTCTCCAGCTGTCAACCTCATGCAACCCTTCTTAGCAGCAGGAAGCACTTATAACCTATCTAGAGATGGGAATACGTTTGGGAGAAATTTCTCTGGACAGGTGGGGAAAGCTCTGGTTCAGGCTCGCCTGGCCCCTGGCCCCGGCCCATCGCTACCAATGGGGAGCTGTGACGATCTCCCCTGTCCTCTCCCGGGGACCTCCAACCTTCAGGCCAAGGCTGCTCTCACCAGTTGTCTCAGATGACAAATGAGGCTCATGTACAAAATCTGCAGTGTTTTTACCGACACCTTTTTATAAGAATATATTGTAATACTAAAAAATATTAAATCCATACCATCCTTATCCAGATTGCCTAGACTTGTGCTTCTTCCCATAAGGGGACTTGGGGTGGGGTCAGGAAATAGGCACAGCCAGTGTGTGCTACAGCCAGGTCCTAGATGGCCAACTGTCACATTTTCAGGAATTCTGCAGACCAACGGGCATGACAGGGACTGCCTGAATTGGGAGTACTGGTAACACCAAAACTTGTTTTCCAGAATGCTGTTTGTAGAACACCTTGGCCCAGAGCAGATGAAAGCAAGGCTGGGGCACCACCAGGGCCAGACTCACAGATGCTTCCGCAGAGGAAGGAGGCCCCAGCAGTCCAGGTGCACATTTATGGGTTGAAGACAGGGAACCTCTAATGCACTCTTTGGTTGCTGGGGGCAGCGTCCAACCCAACCAGATCCACACCAGGGCGCACGTCTGTAAGACAGAATAGCTGCCCTTGGCCTCTCCAGGGTCTCCCTCTTCCCCCAGGAGTGGCTAGGATGGACGGAGGGCATAGCAACACCGTGCCCTCCCCAGATACACACCTCAGGCTTGCATCTCCAAAGTTGGCATCGTGGCTTTATTTGGGTGGTGAGAGAGGGAAGGTAACCTCCAGCTCTCACCTGTCCCTGATATGTTCCAGAATACAGAGGGGGTGGGAACAGGACCCGGCGTGGGAGAAGTGGGCTGCCAGAATTCCGCAGGGCTAAGCCCACTCGTGGTCCCCACACCTGCAAGCCGGCAGGGGCTGACTTGGGTGTAGGAGGGGACAGGTAGCTTTCTTGCAGGAGGCACGGCAGAGATGGAGGGGCTGTGGCTTCTCAAACTTGTGGCGGCAAAGCTGGTGCTAAGAAGTTGTGAAACATTCTTGGTGCAAGCTTGTGCTTTTCCTTTGTCAAAGTGGGCTCCTTGGTGGAATGAGCCCTTGTTCTTTCCCCATAGAAACAGGAAAAGTGAAAACCCAAAATAAGTCACAGGCTAGGCTGAAATAAGTGCCTAAGAAACAGTACATGATTTTCTAGGCATCTCACGGGACACTTGGCAAACCCTCCACTAACTCAGTCCTGGAAGGCTTTGAGGCCTGCTGGGGTCCTCGTCATACAAAGAACTTCGCAGGTTATTAGAATCATCCGGCAACAAGGGGGGCTTGACCTTGGCTTCCGAATAGTGAAGGTCACACTTTAGTAACACTTTGTTGGCCCAAACTGTAGGTGCAGGAAGGGTGGGAGCCCTATGGCCGGTGGAAGTCCCCACGCTGGCCTCCGGTCTTGCTGATGAGCTTGATCTCCCCTATCTCGATGTCCCTGCTGACAGCCTTGCACATGTCATACAGGGTGAGGGCGGCCACGGTAACGGAGGTGAGCGCCTCCATCTCCACCCCAGTGGGGCCCCGAGCCCGGCAGGACCCCCGGATCACCATGGCATGGCGGGCAGGGTCCGGCCTCAGCTGCACCTGGATGTGGCTCAGGGCCACATGGTGGCACAGAGGAATCAGCTGGCTGGTCAGCTTGGCCGCCTGGACTCCAGCCAGCTGGGCCACCCCGAGGGCATCTCCCTTCTTTAGCTGGTTCTGCTGGACAAGCTCGAAGGCCACAGGCCCCAGGAGGACCACAGCAGAGGCCACAGCTTCCCGATCCGTGTCTGGCTTCCAGCCCACATCCACCATAGCTGCCCGCCCTTCTGAGTCCACATGCGTGAGTTGATCTGAGGTTGCCCCAGGTCCTGAGGTGGTGGCAGGAGCCTGGGTCCCTGGGCTAAGGCACGTTGGGGTGCTGTCCAAGTCTGCTTGGGAGTTGTAGAGTCTCAGAGGGGATCCAGACCCTGGCCACTGCCAGGCCACAGCAGGGGCCTGGGGGTGCTGGTGTTCTTTCCACAAAGCTGCTGTCAGGGGAGAGGGTCTGGGTCTCCGACCTGGAACAGGGAGCGGCTCCCAGGAGGAAATGACTGGACTGGCTGGTGGGGAATCTTGGAGCGTTGAAAATAACCCTGGAAGGCAGGAAGGAAAAAGCAAGCCTGAGCCTAGAAGGTAATCCTTTTCTCCGCCTCTTCTTCCCAGCCCATATTTCACATTGGGGAGAGGAATGGAGCAGAAAAAGCAGCACGAAGAAACCAAATTGGAGGTAGATGGGAGACACTCAGTTCGGGTTTACAGCCCTGCACTAGTTTGGCAGGATGGTCGGGCCGGATGGTGGCGTGTGGTCCGCAGGGTTCCCCTTCTTGTAAGAAGCTGTGACAACCCACACAATTAAGGCTTCAGCCTTTAATGTCGCTTTATTTTCTTAAAACAATAGCTAAGTCTTCTCCTAAGTTACCAATTATAGTCACTTTCACCTTCGTATTATCGATGAGGTGTTAATAGTAATTTTTTTTTTTTTTTTTTTTTTTTTTTTTTTTTTTTTTGAGGCAAGATCTCGCTACGTGACCCAGGCTAGCCGTGAACTCATGGCAATCCTCCTGCCTCAGCCTCCCAGTGCTGGGATCATAGGCGTGTAACTCCACACCTGGCCAATGGTAATCGTTTAGGATACAAGATACTAAATGAAACACTTAATGTCTTGCAAATCCACTCAAGTACATCAAAAGTCCATGAAAACTGACGGGTGGAGTCCACCAGTCCAGAGGCCTTGAGAAGGATGTTCCAAGCTGCTGTTACCAAGGACACCAGTGTCCCCCAAGAACCCCTAGTCCTCCCAAATCAAACAAACAAGATCCCCAGGTGATTCTCCCATGCACAGGAAGGGCAGAGGCGCTGTGGGAGGCAGCTCTCGTCTTCCAGAACCAGACCGGCACTGCTCCACCCCTGGTTAATGCCTTGCCATGCTAAGGGGGTCCCTCCTCTGGAGAGAGCTCGTCCTCTGGTTTTGCTCACTGCTCCTTACTGTGTAGTGTACAGTTCAGGGGCCCAGATGTGGGTGTCGCTGCTCTCACCTGGGCACTGGGCTAGGACAGCCACGGCACTCCAGCTCCTCACGGGCCCTCCCACTTCCCCGGGTTGGACACCACCCAGAGGGATTTAACCGAAAGCATCCGTCTAAGCCTATGAGCTCCCGAGGTTCCCGAGAGCTAAGTGGATAATTGGGAAGTGGAGATCCAGACTGTCCCAAGTTGTGCCTGGCACAGACATACAACACACAACTCCTGGGGCCAGTAGCCCAGACACACATGCGTGGGTCACCCCTCACTGCAGAGGGGAAGGGATGCACACCCAACACTGTGTCCATGCTGTGAGACTCCAGAGCTGAGGATGAGGTCTCTAACCAAAGGCTCCATTATTAATGACTTCAGGGATCGTGAAATCTGGGGAGGCCCTGCACTTTGGTTTCTGGTGGGAGAGAATGGTCACTTCTGCGGTCTGTACAGTGAGGGGGAACTGCAGACAGGTACGACACAGGGCTAGCAGGGGTAGGAAGAGATGGAGAAGTAAAAGGAAAACGTGGATGTGAAGGTCAGGGTGAGATGCAGGAGGTGGGGGTGTCTCATGGCAGGGCCCCACCCCGCAGGACCCCCAAATGACAAGGGTGAGTGGTTACGTACTGAGGGGTCACCCACCGATGAGGATCATGGGCCGATTCTTCATCTGGGCAATATTGAACATGCCTGGGGAGGGAAAGATGGGGAGGGGAACAGCAGGGAAGGGGAGAGGAGCGTTTGCTGCAGTCAGTGGGTGGCCGGAGGTGGCCTGGGTCCATGCACTCAGCTACCGGCGTCCTGACGCAGAGCTCCCCCATGCACCAGTGCAAGGCTGCCCAGGACAGAGACCCTGGGACCAAACCCAGAGGACACTGCGTGGGAACCGATAGGCAGTGACACCCTTGCTCTCAGCCCCAGAGAATTTTTGGGTCTTGGCTAAGCATGGCCATGCCCATCTCCCAAGCAGCCCGTCGGTCATTGTGTGCCAAGACCAGAGCTCCAATGGGAGCGGGCACTGCAGGGCTGACACACAGCTTCCTCCTGGGCTCTGTCCACTCACCCCTAATGCCGCCAGGCCTCCCTGCCCGTGGTGTGGCCCGCCTGCCCCTACCTGCATGCTGCCGTTTCTTCCTGCCCACTGCGGCCCCAATGATGGTCAGCAGCTCCTCCTCCGAGGCACCAGCCCGCAGGTGGTCCCGCAGCGAGACTTCCGAGTTCCCAAAGAGGCAGACCTGTGTGGGGATGAGGACAACACGCCTCGCTCAGCTCCCGGCCTCCGCATCTGAGTCAGCTCAGGCTGCATGGCAGTGGCCAGACCTCCCATGGGAGGACACCTGGCCATGAGCGGCAGAGGAGCTGGAGGAGCGAGGAGGAGAGCTGGACTTCCCAAGGCCCCTGTCTGGCTCAGTCACATTTCCTCCCAAGTATGCAATAATTCACTTTGAATGGGAAGCAGATGCCAATAGACACAGCACAGAAGGATCCAGCTCCGGGCCTTCCTCTGTGATGGGGATGGCCTCGTCACCATGAAAGTTGGAGCCAGAACCCCAGATGTACCAGGCACATCACAGCCCCACCTGTTCACTTCACCTGAGGACGTCACTGCCTGCCCCTCCCCTCAAGTCTGAGCAGCCACCAATGACTGGTGGCGATGGCCCCCTGCTTCCAAACTTTGTGAGGGGGGCTGGGTGCTATCGGGGCCCAAGGGTCGATAAGGCATCTCAGCAGTCAAGACACCCACCTTCCACAAAACCTTATAAAGCACCTACTATATGGTGGCTCTGTACAGGGCACTGTGGACAGAGAAGAGTTGGAGAGAAGACAGCAGTAGATTCTAAGTTAGAAGCTGTAACTATCTCCCCGTGAGCTGGGATAACCCATTTCTACCCTACCAGGCTCCAGGCTCCACATTCTGCCCTTCTCCAAAACTGGGAAGTCCCACCTCTGGACTCAGCTTTAGTTGGCTTCTGCCTCGGAGATTAGGAGCGGAGGGAAAAGCGGGGTCAGGCATTTCTTTCTTGCTTCAACACCTGGCAACAGCTGCTTCCCTTCATGGTGGAAGGGCCAAGTGATGTCATTTCCTGGCCTTCCCACCTAGGTGGAACAGCTGTTGGCTGCCATTGTGTCAGGGTGCCTCAATGTTGCCAATGGTGTCTCATATGCCTAGACACTCTAGATAGCCTCTCCATTACATTCTCTTCAGAAACCCAACTCCTGTTTCCTGCTAGGCCAACTCTCTCCCTCCCAGAAACATCTCTATCCTCTTCAACAAGCTGCTGGGTGGTTCCTTTTGGTGTCAAACTGGAAATACTCAAACTTAATCCCTCTGCTGCCAGCCTGAACAGGTCCCAAGGCCCAGCAGACACCTTGATACCTTCCCTTCTCCATGCACTCTAATCCCTTTGACTCTTCCATCCCACCTTCCCCTCACAGGCTAAAGTTTTCTGCTGCATCACTTAACAGCCAGCTACTGAGCCTTCCCAGCTTCATAGCCAATGTGGAGAAGGGTCATATCTTCCCCTTGTTCAGAAACCTCTCAGAGCTCTCCCTACTGCCAGCAGAACTCATTCGAAACCAGTCTCCCCAAGTCTGATTTCCACCACGAGCCCCAGATGTGTGCCCTTCCCTCTTCCTCCCGAGATGCACCCAGCTCCAAGGCTACCCATTCCCTGCTCAGCCAGAAGGCCCCTCACCCTGTCTGCCCAGCCACACCCATGGCAGAGGATCACCTTGGAATATGCCCCCATGGGATTATTTTATGCCTGAAAGTGGATGGGCCCCTGCATTCCCTGCAGGGCAGGGCTGAATCCAAATCCACACCCCAGGCTCATTACCCATGGATCATGGCTGGTGGTTTCAGAGCTGGGGTGAAGTGCACACTGATCCTCTGCCCCTCTCCTTTGGGAGTGCCAAGGGCTGGAAAGGGGCTCCCAAGAAACCAGAAACTTCAGGGACCCGGAGGAAGAGGGGAGGGAAGGGATCAGGGTGACCTTGCCACACAGCCGTGAGTTCACTCTCTTCCTGCTCCTGTGGTGTGGCACAAGGGCCAACCTAGCGTGCCCCACTGGTCCCCACTCCCACTGAGGAACTCGGGGAGGACGGACGCTCACCTTGAGGTTCCCGTCAGCGGTGATTCGCAGCCGGTTGCAGGTCCCACAGAAATGCTCGGACATGGACGTGATGAAGCTGATCTGGCCCTGGAAGCCGGGGATTCTAAAGGCCTGGGGGGAGAGGGCCAGCCAGCGAGTTGGGGTGCTGCTGAGCCCGAGCTGCCTCTCCTGGGCGTCAGGAAGCCCCCCTTCCAGAGGAGCCCATGGCAGGTGGCGCCAGGCACTCCAGTGATGGACGGCTCGTGTCCGAGGCCGGTTCTGTCCCCCGCCTGCCCACATTCCCTAACCTTGGCGGTGCTCGATTTCTCCTCCGGCAGCTTCTCCATCTCGGGCCACTGCTGCTGGATGGTGTCCAGCATCTCCTTGTAGCTGACCATCTTCTTGAAGTTCCACTTGTTTCCTGCATTTGATTGGGGGTCATTGGGGTGCTTTTAGAACCAGAATTGCAGGGACCCTGAGTCTTCAAAGTCCACCCTCCTGCCCAGTGCAGGAACTGCTTTCTTCCCCTTCAGGTTGGGAGGACAGGGCATCCCGCTTGACTCAGGCAGGCCAGTCACACCCATGAGTGCCCCAGTGCGACTCTGGGTCCACGGCGGCCCCCACTGCAGAGCCCACCCTGCCTACCCCTCAGCCCCAGGCCCCGTCCGCCGCTGACCGTCGAAGGGCATGTACTCTATGAAGCGCACATCCAGAGGGTGGTCTTCAGTCAGGGCCACAAAGTTCAGAAGCTCGTCCTCATTCAGGCCTCGCATTACCACACAGTTCACCTGGTGGGGACACAGGGCATGGGCACCCCAAACGCCCTCCTGGGGGGATGGCCTTTGGGTAGCGGGAGCCTACAAGGTCCTCTATGGCAGACCCACTGCTTCAACCCAGCCAATTCTCCTAAAGTCTCACGATTCCCTGGGGTCACTGCTTTTCTCCCTAATTCCTAGGAAGGGTTTGGGGCAGAGTTGGGAACTGCAGCTGGGACAGAAGTGGTAGGAGGCGCCCTTCAGTGGCACTGGGCAGGTGTCACCATCCCCAGCCAGGTGACCTGAGCGGGAGGAAGTCAGAAGTAGGGACAGGCCTCACCTTGATGGGGCGGTAGCCCAGCTCGATGGCCTTGTGAATGCCCTCCATGACCTTGTGGAAGCCTGTGGGGAGGGAAGAGGGAAAGAGCTTATCCAGAGGTCAGCCACACAAGCCAGGCAGCGACACCCACCCTGCGCCCCGTGTCCTATTCACCTTTCCGGCGGGCAATGAACTCAAACTTGGCGGGCACCAGGGTGTCCAGGCTGACGTTGAGGGCACTGAGCCCGGCTTTCTGCAGTGAGGGCAGCAGCCGGGCCAAGTTGATGCCGTTGGTGGTGACTCCGATGGTCTTCAGCCCCTCCAGTTGGTGGAGCTGGGCTGGGGCGAGAACAGGGGTGTAAGACCGGCCAGGCCAGGAAAAGCGATGGTAGCAAAACTTATCCAGAGGGACAAGGGGCTCCCTGCAACCTCCACGGCCTGACGGGGCCATCATTCACGTATGTTACTGCTGGGCAGCTCCAAACCACTGGTGGCACAGGCGTGACTGTCCCATCGGGTGGTACAAGCTGCCTGACGGGAATGTCATGAATGTTCAAGCTGTCAGGAAAGTGTTAAGAAGGCACAAGTAAAAACCACAGAACTGTGCTCTGGATAACCAGCCATACAGGTTGTGCAACTCCGAAAGATGAACACAAGTGTGCTCAGGTTTTCTGCTATGTGACACCCTCGTTCCACCAAAACTCCCTAGAAATAACATTCCTAACTGGACCCAAAGAATGCCCTAGATGCCCTAGAAAGGTAACAAAATATTGAAAGGCAAAACAAACAGGTGGGAGCAGAGGGAGACAGGTGACCATGGCCCAAAGTGCACCCAGGAGAAGGCTCTGCAGAGAAAGTGACACTCAGGGCACAGAGCTGGGTCGTGTGAAGATGGCTGGGCGAGGGGACCTCACCCGCCCCGCAGGCAGGGGCAAGCAGGAGAAGCCAGGCCGGGACACCAGAGGAGACAGAGGACCCCAAGACTTACAGCCAGCAACAACCCATACCCTAGGGGCTCCACAGTGGAGAAAGAGAGAAAGATAACAAATACCCGCAACAGAAGGGTGAAGGAAGCAGCGGCACAGAGATGGCAGACGATAGTTCTTCAAAAGCAGCTACCCTGCAGGGCGCGGTGGCACCACCAGCCGCCTCTCATCCCAGTGCTCTGGGAGGCTGAGGGAGGAGGATCGCAAATTCAAGCCAAATTAGGGAGATCCTGTCTCAAAAAAAAAAATAAAAATAAAAATAAGGGTTGGGGTTGTAGTTCAAGTGTGGAGGCCTTGGGGTGAATCCTTAGTACCAAGAAAAATGAAAAGCAGTCATCTTCTCTGGAATAAATACTGATTCTTGAAAACAAAAAATAAACCAAGATTCTTGGGAAAAACAATATGTGTGTATATATATATATATATATATACATATGTATATATATATACATATATATACATATATATACATATATATATACATATGTATATATATATACATATATTTACATATATATACATATATATACATATATATATATATATATATTGTAGTCTCTAGCTATCTGCAGGGACTGGCTGCAGGAATCCGCTGGGGAAGACCACATCTTCAGATGCCAAATTCCCTTGCGTAAAACAGTGGGGGATTTGCATATAAACCACATGCAACATCCGAAATACTTAAGTACCTCAGTATTACTTATGAAACCTAATACCTTATGCGCACTATGTAAACAGTGCTGACATATCACTTAGACAACAAGGACAAGGAAAAAAGTCTGCCTTGTGAAGTACAGCTGCCACCCAGGTGGGCCCCGTCATGCCGGGCACATCGGTAACAATGCGCTTTCCACGAGTATTTGTGACCTTGTTGGTTGGACGCACAGGTGCAGAGCCCGGGTATACAGAGGGCTGACTGCAGTTAAAGAACAAAACCTTGAGGGAAAGCAGGACACACGAAAGGCAGATGAGCAGGCGGAACACTGAGCAGAACGGGTTCCTGAGGAACTGCACACAAGACGGAGGAGTGAAAAGAATGGTCCTGGAAAGCATGTGCCTGCTCACATGCAAAGCCGATGAAATCAGGAGAACAGAGTCGCCACGCGCCACGGTTCAGATGTGTTAAAGGCTGGAGCCCTGGGACCTGGCCTCGTCTGCGTTCCCGGCTCGACGTAAGAGGCCCCGTCGCTGCCGTGACATATGCTTGCGGCATTGCTCTCCACTGCCCAGACCAGAGGGAAAACCAAGCGGGCTTAATTGATCTTAAAAACTTGAACTCTGGGCCAGAGCTAAGTAAATCCTTTCTCTTTGTAAAGTTAGTTGCCTCTGGTATTTCAACACAGCTCAGCAACTGTGTCCAAATGTTCAGAGGAGCTGTCTTTGATCAGTAGGATTACCGGTGACTTTTGGATTTACGTAGCAATAACTAAAGTTTTTGTGTAGAAGGAGCAAGTTCTTTTCTAACATGGGGAAACACACACACACACACACACACACGACACACGCGCCCCTTTTTAGCTGAGTCTGCTACACGGACATGGTCACTGACTAGATCTTTCCCGCCCTCAGAACAGGGGCTGCCGTCAAACGAGCAGGAGGGATGAGTCTTCGCGAAGAACCAAGCTTAGCTGCATGAGAGAGGATAAACCAGGAGTAAAGGGCACAAGTGAAGCTGAATTAAGAGAAAAGCTGCAGAAGCTGGCCAAATTAGTTAAAAGAAAAAAATCTATCCTCGTGGGACTGCACAGAAAAGCACAGGCTCAAAGTTTAATAAAATCACATGCAAGGTGATCAGGAAATACAGTGAATGTTAAAAAAATTACAGTTAACTGACATTGTCCTCAATGCCTCTCAAAATAATCTTTACTTTAAACACAGTTACTCTTCTTGCTATGTTTGGAAGCAGCTCTGGAATTTCTCTTCCACGTCTTTAGGAGGTGTCATCAAAGGTACGGTGAAAGCTGCTGCTGAGTGCCACAAAATGGACCTCACAACAGACAAACACGATCCCGGGTCCTCACCCATCATAGTCACACCAAATCTGGCCCTGTGTGCCTTTCTGGCTCTTCCCCAGAGTCGAAGTGACCGGGAGAGGTAAACATTTCTGATGTGACAGAGTGACTGAAAACACCCGGGAAAAGAGGACTCCAGACCTGCTTCAGAAAGTGGCCAGAGCCATGAGGTAAGTGCGCGCAAAGCAACGGGGAGCATTTCAGGAAGATTAATCGCAAAGTGTCTTTTGTTGTAATTAATTTTAAAAATGTAAAGACACCACATTTTCCCGTCGTATCTCGTATACCCAGTTTCTGCTCTCATGTGAAGTTATGTATGGAATTTTGCAAAGCCTTCGACCTGGAATTTTATGACCAGACTAGGAAATACATAGTAAAGGCATGTGGGAAACCACACAGGCAGCCAACAATGCAAAACTGGTTACACTGTTTGCTGTAAATGTTGGAGTATTATGCAATGAAACGTGGCCCCAAACTGCTATGCTGGGGTTGGGCAACGTGCTGCTGATGAGAAATAGACACAGAGGATTAAATACAGGAAGTACTCCATGCAGGGAAAAAAGCAGGCAGACCGGACACCACACAAAATGTTGCCAGTGGTGATAAATGGTTCCTAGCAATATTCTTTTGGCTTACCTCATACATTCCTTTGTTAAAAGAAAATTTTACAAATAAAAGTTGTTTGAAAAACAAAGGACTTTAACCCTGGCTCTGCCAACAGGGAAAATCAGCAGTGGTAATGGCTCCCTCTGCCAAATCGAGCCTGGAGAAACAATCTAGCATCTTAAAAATTCTCAAGAAACTCACAGGAAGAGGGGCACAGCCAGGGTGGATGGTGACTGGCACGAATGTGGAGAGACAAGGACAAGCAGGCAGCGTGACCTCTTCTCTCGCCTTCTGTACTGGTGCCCAAGCACTGCAGGCCTCTTCCTGGAGACCTCGGTGGAGGGGGCCCCAAAAGCTGCTTTGGGAACCACTGGAGGGGCATGGAGGTTTGATGTGAAGATGGCGGACATGTGTGAGCGGGTGATGACCTCAAGGTCTTCACACTCCCCTCCTCTTTCTGTGAGCTCCTCAAGCCTGCCGAATACCAGGACCTGGCCTTAAACCTTTCCCCTGACCAGAGCCACACAGGATAGCTGGAACACTCAGGGAACCTCAGAACCTCAACTCATGTCCAAACCAAAGACACCTTCAGGCTCCCCCCTCCAGAGCATTCCTTTAAAGTATCCCAACCGAAGAAAAAGCATTAAACCAGGCAGACTGAGAATGTAAGATAAGCACGATAAACACAGTAAAAGAAAATTTAAAGCAAAACTATATTCTGTAGTAGTAAACAGGATCAAAGGGAAGTATTAGCTAAACATAATTGTGACAGAAAGAACACAACAGAGAGAATCACAGGAGAAATCAGTGAGTTGGAAGTGAGCTTCTGGGAAACGAGGAAATAAAAAAATGGTTGAAGAGACATGGAGGCTTGATGATACAGAAGCGCCAACCCCCCAGATAACAGAGCCTTAGGAGGAAAGAGTCAACAGAGAAAAGGAAATATTTAAAGAAATAATGAAACAGATTTCCCCCAACCTTACAATTGCTTTAGTATTAACAAGGAAATTCTACTGAATGTCAACAGAACAGAAGCAGAAAAAAGCAAATCCAATGATACTGTATGACACCCTATTTTAAGAATCTGAGGAAATAAAATCCAAACACTGACTTTCCAAGGAACAGATCTTATCATCTTAATGGAGCAATAGCCAAACTGACAAACTTCCCTGAACAGTAATGAAGACTATAAAAGGCAACGTTTGTATCATGTTGGAGGAAAGACAGTTGGAGGTAAAATTATATGCACATTCAATTAACATTATAAAGCTACTAATCTGTTGCTCAAAACATTATAAGATCAGCTGGCTTATAAGATTTAATAAGATTTTTCCATACAAAGCCCCGTGCTTAGCACTTTCAGAAGAGAGACTGACAGGAAAACGTTCAAATGTCTGAGGCACATCTGTGGGGGTTAAGAGCAAGGAGCCACCTTGAAGTTTTTTGTTGGACTGGATGAAAGAGAACATGTTTCTGAGAGAAGCAGGGGACAGCAATTCATCACAGCCCCAAGTAAAATTCTGGAGAGCATAAGAATTGGTCAGGGCTCAAGAAACGTGTGGAGGAGAAGAGTCTGTACAAAGAACGCTGTTCTTCTTTTGGAGGGAAAGTGGGGGGCGCGTGTGTCTTTTTTAAGCCAAAGAGGGAGAAAAACTGAAGATGAATTACAATAACCGATTACAGAAACAAGCCCAAATATTTCAGTAATCACAAAACAGGCAAGAGGACCAAACTC